TTCCTCCCCCCTTCCTTTTCCTCCCCTCCCCTTCCTTTTCCTCCCCTTCTCCTCCTTCTTTCCCCTCTTTCTTCCCCTCCCCTTCTTTTCCCCCTCCCCCTCCTTTTCCTCCCCTCCCCCTTCTTTTCCTCCCCTCCCCCTTCTTTTCCTCCCCTCCCCCTCCTTTTCCTCCTTCTCCTCCTCCTTTCCCCTCCTTCCTTGCCTTCTCCTCCCTTTCTTCCTTCCCCTTCTTTTCCTCCTTCTTTCCCCTCCTTCCCCTCCTTTTCCTCTCCTTCACTCCTTCCTTACTTCCCCTCCCTTGCCTCCCTCCCCTGCCCTCCCTCCCTTTTCCTCTCCTTCCCCCTGAGTCCTCAAAGCCCTTGTGCCTGGGCTGTGGACACAAAACCCCTCTGCCTCAGAAGCTGCTCAGAACTGGGTGAAGGCTGCACTCAGCTTGCTGCCATCACCTCGCCAAGCTGTCACTCAAAAGAGAGATCATGCAGAAATTACTGAAGTAAAATGCTACTGTGTCGAGGTACTGATCACAGGTTTACGTTTTATAAAAGACGTCTTCATAATCAAACTATTGTTAGCTACCTTGTGTTTTATCTGGAATTCTCTGGAGTTAGGTAATTTACGTGTGTGTTTCGGAGCACACACTTTGTGTCTTAGCTGTCAGCAGATGCTCTAGAGTGTGAACGGTGAGTTTTCTGTCTAAAGCTGGTGCTTTAACACCCAGTGCTGCTTACTGTGCCGTAACGTAACACTATGAGAAGCAAAATCTGATCTAAATGATGGATATTTGTTTTTCTTTTATGCAGTACACATTTTGGAACTTTATACCCAAGAATTTATTTGAACAATTCAGAAGAATAGCCAACTTTTATTTCCTTATCATATTTCTGGTGCAGGTAAGGCCAGTCATTGTTTTCCATCCAATGTAAATCTAAATAAGTGAGGTTTTGTTCTCAGGTAACTGCCGTGCGGCTAGTGAAGGAGCCAGGATGTGGTGCCCTCACCTACGAGCATGTATTTATTTCTTAAGGACAAAACGTGTTGGTTTTGAGACCCCCACAGGATAAAGCACACACGATGTCACTTTGGGTTTAAGTTGGTGACCGCCCTTCCTGCCCCTTTCCTTCTAGTACCTGAGGGGAAATCAGAGCCTTGCCATCTTTTGGACAAGCTCACAGCCAAGCTGTGCATTGTTAGCCTTACTTGGCTCTTCCTAAATGTGTGTGGATGCTCTAAAGAGAATCAAAATCCAAAGACGGTACTTGTTAAAAGAGAGTTTTAAAAACAAAAAGAGTGCAAAAAAAATCTCAGGGGTATGAGTTAGGGAACAGTAGCCCAGGTGTGCTTTAAGAACAGCACTCTGATTCTTCCAGCATAAAATTATCCAAATCGTGTAATTGAAGTGTGGCCCTGGGCCGGGGGGTGGATTAACACAGTGTGCCCCAACTTCAGGCTATCTGCTGCTGACGATCAGTGGTTTCCTTAAGCATGCTCCTTAATTTTAAAAAAGTTGCCCTCATTTTAACAGTTAGTGGAATAGGATGTTTTACTCCCTGTCCCCAGTGGTGGGCAGAGTTGGGTGCCAGCAAAGGATTTTAAATGAGTCAAGGTGAATGCCAAGTGCTGGCTCGGGGCAAACTCACCCGCCTGAAGTCACTGTGCTGCGTTTTTGAAGATGATTCTGCGATTCTCTCTTTCTGCAGCTGATCATCGACACGCCCACAAGTCCGGTAACAAGTGGACTCCCCCTCTTCTTTGTCATTACCGTCACGGCTATCAAACAGGTAAGCATTTTACAGGCGAAAAAGAAGAAAGTCGTCATCTTTGCCGGGCGAATTGCCTTTCATTCAAAGCGAGGTAATCAGTTTGTTTCAGCTCGTTCACAGAAAATTCAACCAAGTTCTGGAAGTGCATTTTTATAACTGTGTTAGGTTGATACTTGAAGCAAAATAAGAGTTGTTATGTAATTTAGTTGCTAGTCTGGCGCCATCTGAGTTTGAAAAGAAATCTATGCTTTTCTCATCCCGAGCCACCCAGGGACGAGCTCTGATTCTGGTGAGTCCCTTCACCTTTCTGCGTCCTGCCCCGTCTTGACCACCACAGAACATGCTACTTACGGACTCCGGCAAATGGGATGGTTTTGTTCTTGTTGTTTTGCTTTTTGTTTTTCGTAACCCTGGGAAGTAAAGCCAGTGACTAACGTGGAGAAGAGTACATTTCAGACTTACTCTCCATTTATCCATTTTCTCACTTCAGTCACTCCCATTTTCTCCTCCCTGTCCCTGGTGAAGATGCATCTTTCTATCACCGTAGAGTTGCCTGTCCTACGCTGCGTATTCCTGGTTCATCTTCGGCACTCTGTGACTGGCTTCTTCACCCGACATAATGTTTGTAAGGGTTCTCTGCATTTGACATCAGCTCTTCGTTCCCTGTTACGAATGCGTAACAGTCCGCTGTGTGGATACACGCCGTTTTGCTTTCTGCCTCCTCTGTTGATGGACATTTGGGCTGTTTCCACCTTTTGGCTGTTGTGAATAATACTTTTGCGTACAGGTTTTATGTGGACATAGGCTTCCTTTTTTCTCTGTTTATTTTAATTGACATATAATAATCATATGTATCCTATATTTAGGGGTAAACATAGGTTTTCATTTTGGGGGTACGTCCCTAGGAGTAGAGCTGCTCTGATGTTGTGAGGAGCTGCCAGCGCGTGTTCCCGAGCAGCCGCACCATTTTGCACCCCCACAGGCCGTGCAGGGGCTCTTTCCTCCGCGTTCTGACCCTTGCTGTGGTCCGCCCTTCCTCTCACAGCCACCCTGCGTGCAGAGAACTGCCTTGAGCTGGCCCCTCTGGTGACTCAAGGTGTCGAGCAGCTTTTCACGTGCTTACTGGCCATTTGTGACTCTTTCGAGGAAAGTCTTCAGATCCTTTGCCCATTTTTAAACTGGGTTATTTGTCTTTCTGTTAGAACACTTGTAAGAATTCTTTACATGTCCCATACACAATTCATTTATCTGCTGCAAACTTCTGAACCCAATGCTATTTGCATTTTGACATTTGTTGGTTGATTATCATTTGAGACATCTGGATAATCTGCAAAATGACAGGCTCTAGTTAAATTCTTGATGGTCAAATTCTTGCTGGAAAAGCTATGCTTTGGTGGTGTCTTTTTTTTTTGAAATGGAGTCTCACTCTGTCACCCAGGCTGGAGTGTAGTGGCACAATCTCAGCTCATTGGAACCTCCACCTCCTGGGTTCAAGCAGTTCTCCTGCCTCAGCCTCCCAAGTAGCTGGGATGACGGGCATGTGCCACCATGCCTGGCTGATTTTGTGTTTTTAGTAGAGATAGGGTTTTGCCATGTTGGCCACGCTGGTCTCAAATTCCTAAACCCAGGTGACTCACCTGCCTCAGCCTCCCAAAGTGCTGGGATTACAGGCATAAGCCACTGTGCCTGGCCATTGTTAGTCTTTAAATCAATAAACACCTGAAGCATACTTCACCTGCGCTGTGGTACGCACGCAGCCCTGAGCAGGCACAGGCGCTGAAGGTGGCGTGTTGCAGAGTCGAAATGATGCCACGTGAAGGGCTGGCGTCACTGCGGCGTGTCTGTGCATGGGTTTTCAGAGTGCGCCATTCTCCTTCTGGTAGTCCAGTTGATTTTCGGTATGAGGATGGATGTCTGGGCATATTATTTTTCAGATGCACCTGTGAGGAGTAGGTGAGAGTTACAGAATGTAAATGTTGGTTTGACTTTTCTTTCTCACTCACTAGCAATCTGGAAATACAGATTTGGACAACAGCCTGAACTGTGTTTCACACCCACCAGATTGGCTTTCAGATGTGAAAGTCTGGAGATGACGTGGGGAAGCAGGCACCACGGGCCCCTGGCAGGAGCGTGGCAGAGCCACCGAGCATAGCAGTTGGCATCATCTGGTACAGGGACCAGTCCCAGGGCAGAGACCGTGTCCAGACCAACATCTGGACACACAGGGGCCGATGTGGATGATAAACATGCAACTGTGTAGTCAGCACATGGGGCGCGTCTTCGCTAGGCTGGAGCCTGCCGTGCCTGCCGGGATGCGTGAACTAGGGTGTTCGTGGTGACCATCATGGGTTAGTAAAGGACTTGGGCCGCCCAGCGTCCCTCAGTAAGGAGGTGGATGGCTCCACCGTGGTGCATGGCAGAACACAGCACAGCGACCGAGAGGAAGTGCTCTGCCTGAAAACAGAACGTGGGGGAAACTCATGCTGCTGGCGGCCTCGCTGCCCGTGACCGGGGCAGTTTAACGCCTACACGGGATAAGGCCTCACTGAATGATGGTGGTGGGCTCTTGCAGACTTCAACTTTAAGCAAAACGGTGGGTTTTCTCATCAACTTCAAAAGGAAATGGTGCTGAAGGAAATGATGTTATTTGGGGACCTGCTGTGTTTCCAGGAACCCATCTAGGAGATTAGGTGAGGGCGTCCTGTGCTGTCTGTGGCACATCTGTGTGGCAGGAGCAGAGGCTGCAGACAGGACGGAGACCCCTGAGACTCGAGGCGTGCTGAGAGAGGAGCGTGGGTGTGGAACAGGGGCTGGCGCTGTGCGGCGGTGTCCTGTCCAGCCCTGCCCTGGGAGGCGGACGCAGACAGTTGGTTACTCAGTGTCCTCTGCTCTGCCTTATTTAAGGATTGTAACCCTCCTGGGACCCCACTGAGTAGGAAACTCCTGCGGGCTCCAGGGCTGTCCTGGAGGTGAGGAGAGGATTGCATGGAGTGGGGAGGGTGGCTGTGAAGACGCATCTGGGCCAGGGAGGCAGCGGCCCAGGAGCCCACGGCCCCGTCGATGCGGAGGCCACTTCGCAACACCATGCAGACCATGGCCTAGACAAGAACATGAGGTGTCCTCGGCCTGGCGTGGGGCAGTGCCCAGGGGTGGGCGTTCCGGGGGGTGTTAAGAGGGGTCAAATGAACACAACCTCAGGTCTGGGCCTCATCGCCAACGTCCCTGCCGGAGGGGTTTCTTCCTCTCCCGTGCCTCTTGCTCCCCAGCCATCACTCTGAGGGAGGCCTCGCTTCTCCCACTGCTGGTCTGGACCTGTGTGTGCCCGAGCGCCCTCCTTGCTTTCCCACCACTGACCTCCTTGTCCCTCTTCCTCAGGAACGGTGCCTCCCTCTGCGCCCCCCCCACACCCCTCTGGCTCCAGCAGGGTGTTTGTGCTGGGGTCCCCATGCTCCCTCCCAGCCCCTCCTCACTTGCCTTGGAAGGCCCCCTGCACTCACAGAGCCCGCCCTGATTTCTTGTAGGTTCCCGCCTCTCTTTTCATGCCATCTCCCCAGTGAATCCCCTGGACACTGATGGGCACCTCACTGTACCTGGCTCTGCTGCTGCCCAGGCCCTGCCTGAGTGGCCTCTCCCTGTGGTGCCCAGCTTCCCTGCTGTGTGTGGGGCCCTCCCATCAGCCTGCTACCTGCATGGGCCTCCACGTGTCACTCCCAACCCAGCCAGGCTGGCCACTGGGCAGTGCCATCCCCGCTCCATCACCACTGGGCATTCCTGGGCACCTCCTCTCTGTCTTCTTCCCGCAGCCAGGGCACTGGGCTTCTTGGGGGCACTGGTGTCTCTTACCTGAGCTGAACTTGCAGTTACTTCTGTTTCTTCCCCACCAGTCCTGAGAGCAGTAGTGCTGGGGACAAGGTCTGTCATCTGCAGGTCCCTGGTGCTTGGCACTTGCCGAGCATGCAGTTGGTGCTAAATAAGTGTGTTTAACGAACCCAGGAGTCGTCTACCCACTGCCGCCTTCCAAGAAGACTGTTGTCAGTTTCCCCAGAAAGAGGGTATTTCAGCCATTTGGGAGGAATCTCTGAAAAGCAGTCAGATGCCATGGCGTCACTTGTAACGGCCAGAGCTGGAGAATGCGCCACGCCTTTGGACATCCATGCATCCCGAGTTTCTTAATTCTCCAGAAGCTGGAGGTTTTGGGTTACTTGTTTTTGCTCCCGTCAGAACAGACGCCAGTTGCAGGCCCCTGATGCCGGGTGGCCCATAGCGAGGGGCCCGTGAGCCTCCTGCCCCACGGGCTCTCTCGGGATACGCGCAGTGGGCCCGCGGCCCAGGCTTTCCGCCGCCACCCCGTGCGGTTGTGCTGTGTGTGGCACAGCTGTGTTCCCAATCCCGATGTGCGTTAGGTGCAGTGGATGCCCGTAGGCCCGGGTGTGCAGTCTTTCATGCTGGGATGGTTACTGAGAACGGCCATTCCCCATCCTTATCTGAGGCACCTGCACCAAGCAACACGAGACACAAAGGCATGTCCGTCATCCCAGGAAGTGTCAGCGTGCGGCCTCTCCTGTTGCCGCTTCTTTCAAGATACCACCCGGTTCTCCAACCAGAGGGTGTGCCTCGGGAGCTGGAATTGGAGCACGTGTGTCCGCACCTGTCTGAGGCTGGGGTCAGGGTGAGCTGGGGCCGCTTCTCCAGCGTGAAGCCTGCGCACACGGGAGCCCCGATGGATGTCTCCCGGATGGGTTACTCGGACGCAGAAATGCACGGAGAACCCTAAGGCTGCTGCGAGCGTGACAGAGTGAGCCAGGGGTTCACCGAGAGTCTGGGCTGCCAGATCTCATGACAGACATCAGTTTTTAATGAAAGGGAAGTATGGCCAGCGTGTGCTTTTCCAAGCTGAAGGCTGACACTCAGTGGGTGGAATGCAGCTGGACACAGCATTTATGTGAGAAGCCTTCCCTCCTTTCACTCAGACGTTCCTTTTTTAGGAATTTATCCTAAGGCGATGTCATGAATGTGCACAAAAGTGCAGTTATGTAGCATTTATGCAAACTTCCAGAAGCATCTTTATCAAACGTCTTTGCAGTTATCCAACCGCAAACATGTCAAGCAGCTCAAATTGCCTGGGAAAGTGTCGATGCTGTCAGGGATACAAAGAATCATGTGTGTGTGGTATATCCTGATTTGAAAAATACACCTCTGCAGGCTCGGATTGTCCTTGCACAGAATTCAGCTCGAGCCCTCCGCCTCTCCCCCACTTGCGCCTCCCTGCCTCTCTCCCCGCTTCCTTTCACCCTTCTTTTCCTTCCTTTCTTTAGGGTTATGAAGACTGGCTTCGACATAAGGCAGACAACGCCATGAACCAGTGTCCTGTTCATTTCATCCAGCACGGCAAGCTCGTCCGGAAGCAGAGCCGAAAGCTGCGGGTGAGTGGCGCCTGACACGTTTACCCGGGCTTAGTCCAGTGGCCATTGGAGAAACAGGTCTGACCCAGGTGCGGCGGCTCATGTCTTCCGTCCTGGCGCCTCAGGAGGCTGAGGCAGGAGGATCACTCAGCCCGGGGGCTGGAGGCCACTCAGGAGGCTCCACCATGCCTGTGAACAGCCACTGCTCTCCAGCCTGGGCAGCAGAGAAAGACCCTGTCTCTTAAAACAGTTTTTAAATACAAACTTTAAAAACAGTTTTTATTTTCTTTGACAAAACAGACTGAGATGTTTTTTATTGAGTGTAGGCCCTAGCTCCCTACTACCTTTATTTTTTTACCTTTAATTTTTTTTTCAGTAGTCTTTACTTTTTAAAGCAGTTTTGAGTTCACAGCAGAATTGGGTGGATATGCCCACCGCCCCCACCCCCCCACCACAGCCTCCCCACCAGGAGCATTCCACACCAGAATTGGTGGAATTTAAAATCATTGTGGGAACACACGAACCAATCAAGAGAGAGAAAGGTTGGAAACACTGTGTCTAAAGTTTGTTTTAGAATAGATATAGTAAAATATTAATATAAACTCTACTAGGTAGAAATGTATTGTTTTAGAATAATGTGTAATAAAATCATATCAGTATAAATTCTACTAGATAGAAGTTTATGAAAATTGGAACAGGAAACCTCATCGAAGATTGTATTTTTAAATTTATTTATTTATTTAGAGACAGAATTATTTAGAGACAGAATCTTGCTCTTTCACCCAGGCCAGAGTGCAGTGGCACAATCACAGCTCAGAGCAACCTCCATCCCCAGGTGCAAGTGATTCTACTCCCGAGTAGCTGGGATTACAGGTGCACGCCACCACGCCTGGCTGATGTTTGCATTTTCAGTAGAGATGAGGTTTTACCAAAACGTTGGCCAGGCTGGCCTCGAACTTCTGGCCTTAAGTGATCCACCCACCTTGGCCTCCCAAAGTGCTGGGATTACAGGCACGAGCCACTGCGCCCTGCCAAAATTTTATGTTTTATTGATATATAATAGTTGTTTGTATTTGGGGATCTGTGTGATACTTTGCTGCCTGCACCCCAATGTGTAAAGATGAAGTCGGGGTAACTGGGATGTCCATCACCTTGTGGATTATTCCTTTGTGCTGGGAATATTACAGTTCTTCTTGAAGGCTGCATTTTAAATGTTTCAAATGAATTATTAGTGTAACTAATACATCAATACATTTTAAAATGTGTTTAAATTATTTAAATGAGATGTTTTCGGCCTTTCACTAGTCATTTGGAAGCACCTGTATAGGTGGAACCATGAGTGTGGCCTTCATGTTTGTGTCAAGGCAGCGGTCAGCAGCCTGCTCCAGTCTGCCATCTGACCGTGGAGCTCGGTGCCAGGCCCATGCCGGCCCCTTCCTGCCCCCACTGGTGCCCGTGCTCGCTGCCTGGCCCTCGCCCACTCCCACGCCTTCCTCCCTCCTGCAGCCCCACTGCCTACCCCACTGTTTTCCCAGCCCAGCTGTGGGAGGTTCAGTGAGGGACACAGGGAGCTCCCCACTGGGTCCTGTGCACAGGAAGAGCCAGGCTCGTTCCAGAAGCCGGGAGGGGGAGGGCGTCTGAGCAGCCCAGCCAGCCGGGCCCAGTGAGCCTCTCCGGACAAGGCCGCAGCCCCTCCCGGTGCAGTGGGACAGGAACCCAGGAGGCGCTCAGAGGTCCTTCAGAGGAGCTGGCATCAACCACTGGCCCCCGCCACCCCCGTTCACCTTGCTCTCACTGTTCTGTGTATCACACACATCACCGAATGGACTTTTAAGCATTTAAACATTTTCACTTATAAATTTGCTGTCCAGGTGTTTAAATGCTTCTGAAAGAGCTTCCCTTCAGTGAGCTCAGGTGGGCGATGTTTCCCTAGTGGTCAGGGGTTCAGAGAGCAGATGGCCCTGGCCTAGGGAACAGCCGTGGACTCACACCTGTGTCAGCAGGCGTCCGGTCTCAGGCTTTCAATGCCATTTCCTTTATCGATTATATTCCCCTTGCGAAGCCTTTCATACTTGTAGCTAAACATCTTTCTTAAAAAAAAACAGACCTAAACTCTGTCTGTCCACATAAAACTGAATTTTTAATGTACTGGTCTCCGTGGGAAATGCCTGCCCTCTATCCTGGGCACCGTAACAGGGAGGATTCTAAACAGGCTATGCAGGATGAGAAAGAAAAGGTCAGGCTTTTCCTACAACTGCAGGCATCGGCTTCCGTCGGTTGTAATGGCTCAAGCCTTGCAGGGTGCTAGAGCGAACTAGAAAGGCAATCCTTTAATTAGTTCTTCTTTTTTAATTAAACTTTTATGTGGAGGTAATTACAGAGGCATCCTGTGTTCCCATTGCCCCGGCGTGTTGCCCAGCTCTAAGATTTCCTTATTTCATGGATGACATAAAGAGAATCCTGTGGCCTGTGACCTCCTGGGGTTGGCTGTCGTCGGGCAGCCTAATTCCCTCGGGATTCACTAAGTCTGTGCACCAGCTGTTCCTTCCCTTTTTTGCTAAGGAGGGTTCCGTGCTGCGGACGTACCGCAGTTTCACCATTCCCAAGTTGAAGGGCGTGTCGGTTTTTCTAGTTTAGGGCTATTATCTATAAAGCTGCTATGAATATTTGTGTGCAGGTCTTCATGTGAATGTAGTTTTCATTTCTTCGGCATAAAAGCTCAAGTGTTCAGTTGCTGGGCCGTCTAGCATATCCACGTTTGGTTTTGAAAGGGACTGCCAACGCGTTTTCCAGCGTGGCTGTCCCGTGTCATTCCCGCCCACCACGTTCCAGTATCTGCCACCCACAACATCTCAGTGTGGCTTAAACATGCATCTCTCAATGGCCTGTCTGACATCTTTCCCTGCGCTCGCTTGGCATCTGTGCATCCTCGTCAGTAAAAATAATTCTTCATGTCTTCTGTCCATTTTTCCAGCTGGATTATTTGAGCTTCTTTTCACTGTTAAATTTATTTATTTATTTATTTTAAAACGCCAGTCAAATCTAGCAGTGGGGGATTGTAGACCAACTTTAGTGACACTAATGCTAGTAAGTTCTGATAACCCACCACTATCAGACCAACCCACTGTTAAATTTTAAGAGGTCATGTAGTCTAGATATTACTACTTTGTCAGATATAGATTTTTAATACTCAGCAAGGTATTTCACAAAAGGAATGTTTTACATTCTGTTGAAGTCCAATTTTTTTAAATTTATTTAATTATTTTTAAATTATTATTTCTTTTGAGACAGTCTTGCCTTTGTCACCCAGGCTGGAGTACAGTGGCACAGTCTCGGCTCACTGCAACCTCCACCTCCCAGGTTGAAGCAATTCTCCTGCCTCAGCCTCCCAAGTAGCTGGGACTACAGGCGTGCACCACCACACCTGTCTAACGCTTGTAGTTTTAGTAGAAACAGGGTTTCACCTGTTGCCCAGGCCGGTCTTGAACTCCTGGCCTCAGGTGATCCACATGCCTTGGCCTCCCAGAGTGCCGGGATCACAGATGTGAGCCACTGCGCCCGGCTGATTTTTTTTTCTTTTGCGGACTGTATGTTCAGTGTCCTGAATGAAGCGTTCTTGGCCTATCCTGAGACCCAAAGACTTTCTCCCATGTTTCTTCCTGAAAGTGTTATAGTTTCGTGTTCTACATTTAAGTTCATGATCCACTTTGAGATGGTTTTTGTAGAAGGTATGGTGTTTCTGTCCTTACTGTTTTGCCTGTGGCTGTCCGATTGCCCTGCACCAGGGGTGGGCGGCTGTCCCTCCTCCAGGGAGCAGCCCTCGCCCTCTGTCACCATCAGTGAAGCCCATTTGCGAGGGTCCATTTCTGGTTCCCTGGTCTGTCCCATTGATGTCCACACCCAAGCCCCGCCAATCCCACATTGTTGGTCACTGTACCTACTTCAGAGGCCCTGTCGTTGGGGAGACCGAGTCCTTCCACTCAGTCTTCTTTTTCAGGGTGGTTTTAGCTATTCTAGAGCCTGTGCCTTCCAATATAAATTTTAGAATCAGCTCATTTATGTCTGTGAAAGTCCTTGCTGGGATTTCCATAGGGATTTTAGGAAACCCATAGGTACATTTGGGGAGAGTAACCCTCTGATTTTAAAGTCTCACAGATTCACAGTGTGCTGTGACCATCATGTAGTGAGACAGAGAACTCTGCTTGCAGTGTTGACAGAGGCAGGGCAAGCCCCGACCCTGGCATGCCTCCCGAGTGGCGGTGAGACTGGCCGGGGGACCCACACTGGCTCACTCAAGGGGTCTGATGATCCTTCGTCTTTCAGATACACAGTCCAGCTCACTGAGCTGCCATCCTCCCCAGCGAAATGAGAGAGACACAGATACGAACCAGACCATTACCCTTCTCGAAAACCCACATGATGAACTTCCTGTGATTGAGTTTTACTTCGTTTTTGAGATGTTGTTGCCACTTTGGCTTTATTTGCCCTCATGCTTTGATGAGCTGGGCAGTGCCTTGGTTCTGTTGGTCAGGAAGCTCTCAGAACTCTACCACCCGCTTCATAAAACGCCAGATTGAGATCAGAGCTTCTCATGGGAGTGCATCCCGCTTGGCCATGCTGACAGGCACTCAAACTCGTCTTGCTTGGTCTGAATCAAAGATAACCTTGTTGCAGGTGTTGGTTTCTGTTTTTGCCCCAGGATATTCGATCATGCTGTGCTTTGGCACTTCTCTGAGCTGCAGTTGGAATATTGAAACCTGACCTGGTCTTTCTTTGGCCCCAGCAGAATGTCTGGCAGGTGTCTTTTCCTAGAATCATCTCTGCATCCCTGTATCTTCCTGTAAAAAAATGAACACCTTGAAAGAGTGTTTCAAGTCCCACACGGCGGTGAGCTTTCATGGAGGGGCTTTCCGCTGACCATCCTTTCTGCTTGTGCTGTAGGTTGGGGACATTGTCATGGTCAAGGAGGACGAGACGTTTCCCTGCGACTTGATCTTCCTTTCCAGCAACCGGGGAGATGGGACGTGCCATGTCACAACCGCCAGCTTGGACGGAGAATCCAGCCATAAGGTAAGGGGCCTTTTTGTTAGATTCCAGGGAGGGGTCTGCCAGCTTGGAGAAAGAATCCAGCCATAGAGTAAGGGGCCTCTTCATTAGATTCCAGGGCAGGGTCCACCAGTTTAGACGGAGAATCTAGCCATAAAGCATGGGGCCTTTTCATTAGATTCCAGGGAAGGGTCCGCCAGCTTAGACAGAGAATCCAGCCATAGAGTAAGGGGCCTCTTCATTAGATTCCAGGGCGGGGTCCACCAGTTTAGACGGAGAATCCAGCCATAAAGCATGGGGCCTCTTCATTAGATTCCAGGGCGGGGTCCACCAGCTTAGACGGAGAATCCAGCCATAAAGCATGGGGCCTCTTCATTAGATTCCAGGGTGGGGTCCACCAGTTTAGACGGAGAATACAGCCATGAAGTAAGGGGCCTTCTCCTTAAATTCCAGGGTGGAGTATTCCTGTCCAGCTTCAGGCTGTGCGCGTGTGGCCGCAGGAACTAACATCCTGTTTAAAAAGTCAGCATTTTCAGTGTTTGCAGTGAGGACCCAAGGACCTGTGCAGCCAAGTTTTTTCCTCACTTTTGCTGCCTCCTATTTTTCACTTTGCTCTTTTTTCTTTTTTAAAAAAATAAATTGTATATATTTAAGGCATATATGATGATGTCATGAGATACATGTTTTTATAGTGAGGTTGTGGTGAGAGTGGACCCGATGAACATGTCCACGTCTCACTTGACTTCCCGTTCCCTCCCCTGGCGCCTGTGCCAGAGCAGCCAGAACCTGCTCGATGCAGCAGGAACCCCGAGCCCGACACTCTTGCCCACTCCAGCCCTCCTGTTGTGAGCTGGGTCTCTGGACAGGTCGTCCTAAATGTTGCTACTCTGTGTCTTTGACCGACACCTCCCCATTTCCTTCCCACTTTTTTCTTTCTACTCTCAATGTTTAAAACAACTTATCATCTCAGGTTAACAGAAATAACTTCCGTGTTCGCCTGTGTCAATCAGCTAATGCACCAAATTAAAGATTTAATGAATAGATTGTTGGAATTTAAAGAATTTTCATTTTACTAGTTAAAATTAATGTGAAAACTGGCCTAGAATTATGTGAAAAGTCACACACAATTCTGGATTTTGCCTGTTACTTCAACAAATGTCTTTTTGTTAATTTATCTTAATCTGGATTTTCTGAAATTACTACGTAAGTAATTTCCTGCACTCAATATAAAATTCTGCACAGGCAGCTGATGCTACAAGAATTTTAATTGTCAGTCATAAAGGATATACTACCATTAATTTAAGATTCTTATTTTAAAAATCTAGAAGTTTCTAAGGTGTTTATGAGAGTGAGCATAGCTCAGTGGATCCAACTATTCCTAAGTCATCAGCTCACAAAAGTGCAACTCTAAAATGGTATTTAGGTAATACCTATGGACATAGGCCATTTCTACTGTGAGATAGAGACATTTTCTTTACAAAATCACTGAAGGGTATGCTAGTCTTTCATAGATAATTCAGGTATGTATCCTGAATTGATAAATGAAAAACCTGTGGATATTTTCGGTTAAATTTGCTTTCAGATTTTCCATGTAGCATATCCCAGGAGAGTGAGCACTCTAACACAATAGGTTGTCAGCAGCAGTGCTTCTGGGGAGGCAGAGTCCCTGGACGATTCAGGTATTTGTTGTAAGCGGCTGCTGGTCCCTCTGGAACCTGGGAGGAGGTTAAGGTTCCATCCACCCAGAGACCTTGTGAGCCCTCCACACTCGCTGGCAGTGGCTGCCTTTGTAGCCCTGCCCTGCAGGACTGTGGCTGGTCAGGCTCTGACAAGTTCCAGCCACGCTGGTGAACAGATGCTGTGGGTCTCCAGATGTGCCATGTTTGTCCGGATGAAATGTTGTCGTAGTTGTGGAAGATGATAAAATAGCTATTGCACTTTGACCTTTTGTGGCTTTGCAGTTCGCGTTACAGCTTTGTGTTCTCTAATGTCATTTTTGTGCATTTTGTTTAGCTTTGGGGGACTGGAATTATTTGAGCCCTTTCCTTAAAAGCCGAGTGGGGTGTGGGAAGGGTCCAGCCAACCTCTGTTGGAATCTCAGGGTGGGCTCATGTGACCGCACAGGCTCGTTGGCTTCTCTGGACTCTGCATCTTTGAAATGGGACAGCTGTGTCTCTCAGGGGCTCTTGTGAGGATACAATTAGAAAATGCCCACTGAATTTAGAAAATAAGTGCCCCCTGATTTGTGCGCTTGGTGACAGAGCAGCAATCACTTCCCTCCCCCAGCCCTGTCTGTGTGTTTGGTGACTGAGCGGTGATCCTTCCCCCCAACCCTGTTTGTGTGTTTGGTGACTGAGCCGTGATCCTCCCCCAGCCCCGTCTGTGTGTTTGGTGACTGAGCCGTGATCCTTCCCCCCAGCCCCGTCTGTGTGTTTGGTGACTGAGCCGTGATCCTTCCCCATCCACTTTTGTGCGCTTGGTGACGGGGCTGCGATTGGTTCCCCTTGATTTGTGCGTTTGGTTTCAGGGCTGCGATTGGTTCCCCCTGATTTGTGCGCTTGGTGACGGGGCTGCGATTGGTGCCCCCTGATTTGTGCGCTTGGTGATGGTGCAGTGGTCGTTTCTCCCTTTTGTTCTGACTTCTCCTGTGTTTTATTTGTCCAATGCTCATCCCTTAGAAAAAGGCACAGGAAGGGATTCAGAGATGCTGTTGCCTCTCCCCAGATCTTTGGGCACACATTTCTCCTCTTTCCTCTCAAGGCAGGGCCAGTGCAGCCCTCACGCCCACCTGCTGGTGCTCACAGATGTTACTGTTGTCAGCAGGCCTCAAAATGTGCTCTGAGACCAACAGCGTGAGTGGGCACCATGTGAGAAGGGTAGTTCTCTGGGCTTCCCTAGACCCGCTGCATCAGAAACCCTGGGGCTGAGCCCAGGAATCGGGGGCTTAAGAAGCTCTGGGTAAAGCTGGCACACACGAAGGCTGGAGGAGCCCTCGGGCCCAGGCCACGTGAACAGTTAAGTAGAAGGCATGTGCCACCCAACAAGGACGGGAGCAGGCAGGTTGTTGCCGCATAGTGGAGGTGAAGTGAAGTGACGCCCGTGACGACTTCCCGTGAACAACAGGGCATGCTGTAAAAGCAAAGGGGTATTTCAGGTCCTCAACCTGTTTTCCAATGAATAGCTGCTGTGACAGATAAATCAGTGTCCACATTTGAAGAATTTGAGCATCATTATCTGTCCTGTTTTAAGTGGAGGACACTGGGTAAGAACGGAAGAATTAGAATCTTCTGGTACATAATAGATGCAGGAATAGCAGTGGGACCTTATCTTTCTATAACTTTTAAACATTTACAGACTCTATGGTCAACCAGGCTCTGTAGCCACTTGGTTGGAGGCAGCAGCTTCTGGGTTTGTGTTGACCGTTTTGGCTGTGAGCTCACCTGTCTTGTGATTTGCAGACGCATTATGCCGTGCAGGACACAAAAGGCTTCCACACGGAGGAGGATATCGACGGGCTCCACGCCACCATCGAGTGTGAGCAGCCCCAGCCCGACCTCTACAAGTAAGCAGGGCCTGCAGGGTCTCTAGAAATGGGTTATGCCCTCAGCCTTGTTCTTGCTTTTTTACCCCAAATACTCCAGCCATCTGCTGGTTTGGAAAGAGAATGTAAATCACTGCTTAAAGATTAAGTCAAAAAGACATTACTCATTTATTTGCATAGACTTGTACCACTCAGATTTGTAGCTTTTTATTTATGCAAATATTTGAAGTGGCTTAATGGAACTAGATTTGTGGGGGAAAAACTAAGTTTTCTTTATTTTATGGAAGACATTCGTAAACTGTGGGGTAAGGAAAATGACTGAAGCCATGGGCTGATCAGAACAGAAAGTACGACAATGAAGGGGCTGAAGGAGAGCCGGCTTAGCCACACGTGGAACGGGCTGGCTGGCTTAGCCAGATGTGCAACGGGCTGGGTGGTTTAGCCACTAGCAGAACAGGCTGGCCGGCTTAGCCACATGCGGAACGGGCTGGGTGGTTTAGCCACACGTGGAATGGGCTGGCCAGCTTAGCCACACATGGAACGGGCTGGGTGGTTTAGCCACTTGCGGAACAGGCTGGCCGGCTTAGCCACACGTGGAACAGGCTGGGTGGTTAGCCACTCGTGGAACAGGCTGGCCAGCTTAGCCACACGTGGAACAGGCTGGGTGGTTTAGCCACATGCAGAACGGGCTGGGTGGTTTAGCCAGATGTGGAACAGGCTGGCCGGCTTAGCCACACGCAGAACAGGCTGGGTGGTTTAGCCACACGTGGAATGGGCTGGCCAGCTTAGCCACATGTGGAACGGGCTGGGTGGTTTAGCCACTAGCAGAACAGGCTGGCCGCCTTAGCCACACACGGAACGGGCTGGGTGGTTAGCCACTCGCGGAACAGGCTGGCCGGCTTAGCCATACGTGGAACGGGTTGGCTGGTTTAGCCACACGTGGAATGGGCTGGCCGGCTTAGCCACACGTGGAACAGGCTGGGTGGTTAGCCACTCGCAGAACAGGCTGGCCGGCTTAGCCACACGCGGAACGGGCTGGGTGGTTTAGCGACACCCAGAACAGGCTGGGTGAAGACCTGCACCTCACAGTGGCCTCCTCTGTGGACACAGGAAGGCAGGCAGGCCAGGCGCGGGCGTCGGGGTGGGGCCGCTGGGTGCATCCCGTCAGTAACGTGGCTTTTCTGTCGCCAGGTTCGTGGGTCGCATCAACGTTTACAGTGACCTGAATGACCCTGTGGTGAGGTGAGTGCCTCTGTGGACGCATGGACCATGGTCATCTCCCTTGTCGTGTTAGAAATGCATTCTTGGACAGATGAGCATTTCCACGGCCACTACTCTAGTAGATTTGGAAGGTGGAGTTCCACTTTCCCAAAGGGCCAGGCTCTGCTCTCTTCCCTGGTGTGTCTCAGGCACACATGTGTGAATGTTGACAAGTTACTGATGCTCGTGAAACAAAGTTTTGCACAAGACTCTGCCAGGAGGGTCGTCTCACGGGCCAGGAGGTGTCAGGGGTCCATGAAGAGTCTCGAAGTGATGGGCAGAGTACAGCGTCCCCATGAGAAATGCCCTCTCACGATTCCTGTGCTGATTTGTCTTCAGATATGAAGTTGAAGACTTCTAATTTGGGGGCCGTTTTTTGGAGTGTATTTCATCCACTCGCCATCGTTAGTGGGGTGCATCATGGGCTCAAGGCCTCTCTCTGGCTCATGTCCACCCAAGAAGGTGGACACAGTGACCCAGGGCCAGGTTGGGGCAGCTCACAGGCGACTGCTGTGCCTCCCATTCACCAGCATGGACTCAGCGGCAGTCACACCAGCAGTCACACCGCGCATGTGTGAGGAAACCAGAGCCTCAGGCAGCTCCTCTTTGGCCCCGGGGCAGCCTCGGCTGAGAGCCAGCCGGGGCAGCCTCGGCTGAGAGCCAGCCGGTGCCCAGCCCACCTCCGAGCAGCGCCCGCCTCCCGGGCCTACGGATATTCTCTCTGACATTATTTCAAGATCTAGCATTTGTTGCTGACGAATGCTAACGATGGGTAATGATTTGTCATCATTACCCATCAGCAGGCCAGCAGGTGCTTCTGAGGATTGATAGTGGCCTTGCCTTGGTTTTCCTAAATACGTACTTTTCTAAAGGTAAATTCCTCCTTAGTTTGGAGAAATCACTTGTATTTCTGTGTGCTGTGAGAATTATTTTGTGTTTGAATGAGTAAACAGACTTAGGTTTATTCATATTACCTACGGGTTGAATCCACAGTATTAAACAGTGCAGGCTTTTCATCTTTATAGTTAGACCAAGTTTATTGCTCAGCAACCTGGGACGATAATTGCTAATATATTTTTCATTTTGATACTAACTCTAGTTTCACTTTTATTTTATTTTATTTTATTGGAGACAGAGTCTCGCTCTGTCACCCAAGCTAAAGTGCAGTGGTGCAATCTCAGCTCACTGCAGCCTCTGCCTCCCAGATTCAAGCAATTCTCCTGCATCAGCCTTCTGAGTACCTGGGGTTACAAGTGCGTGCCACCACACCTGACTAATTTTTGTATTTTTAGTAGAGATGGGGTTTTGCCATGTTGGCCAGGCTGGTCTTGAACTCCTGACCTCAGGTGAGCCACCGCGCCTGGCCTAGTTTCACTCTTAAATATTTATGCTGTTCAATAGACTTCTAATATTTAGGTTATTTAAGATGTTTATAAATTTGTGATGTGAACAGTTAAGAATTATGCACCTAAATTCTCAATCCATTCAGAGCAATGTTTCTTCTTCCCTCTGTCCTAACTAGAAGCAAAGTACTTTTCCGAGTAAATTATTTTTAGGCTTCCTTGAGTCACCTTTTTAAAAAAGCTGTTTGTTTTCGTAGACACTTGACAGGAATTATTGTAAGTGTGTTGGAAACAGAAGCTGACAGTCCTTATCACACAACCAGACAACCCGTATGCAGCCCAGAGCTCCATCTTGAGTGACTGCCGGGTCAGGAGACGCGTGGCAGTCTCAGCCACGGCCAGGGGCGGACGCTCTGCCTGCTGTGGCCGGGACAGCTGTATCCCTCAGGGCAGCCCCACGCTGCCTGCCTTCAGCCAGATGCAGTTCTGAGTTATGTCGACCAGACATACTGCATGCATTTTACATTCATAATATTCAGCAGGTTCTTCACTTTCTATGATAGAAGGACAGTAAATACAATGATGCATGAAAAGCAAACTTCAGCAAACACTTTTGACCCTTTCCCCTCCGAAGAAATCCTTAGGATGATATCAGTAGCAAAATTTATAAATTGGAATCTTGCCGCTTATTTCTCCCTTACCACTATGAGAAGAGGTTATTTTTCCATCAGCAGGGAACCCTGTTATATCAAGCATATAAGCCCCTGATAGCAGGGACCCCACCCGCTGCTCACCGTGGGTTCAGTGCGCAGAGCTATGCTTGTTCCTCGATGCATGAGATCTTTGAGTTCTTTGGCCATTGCTTGTTTTTCCCAAAAGTAGCCATGCATGGACTGCCCCGGATGGATAGGTCTCCCGTTCAGAGGAGCTCTGCAGTGTGGCTTCCAGTGTTTCTAAAGGCCAGACAGAGTATCAGCTTTTGTCTCCAGGACAGACAAAGACTGTTACATGAGACCCCCCCGAGTCTCACTGAGGATGTCATAGAAACAACTGAGGCTGGGCATGGTGGTGCCCCACTCTCATCTCAGCACTTTGGGAGGCCAAAGCAGCAGGACCACCTGAGCCCAGGAGACCAAGGCTACAATGAGCTGTGATCGTGCCCCCAGCTTGGGTGATACAATGAGACTTTGGCTCCCAAAAAAAAAACAAAAAACAGGGACAGCTGAAAGTTGAGCGAGTCACCTGCACCCCTCTTTAGCCTTTCCAGAACATTCTGGGCCCTTCCAATGCAGCTGTCCTCAACCTGAGGCTTGTCAGGAGAGGGTTACTGGGCCCCACCCCCGGGTTTCAGGTTCTGACTCTGTGGGTCTGGGACGATCTTCTTGACTAGTGTGATGTTCCTGACGGGCTCCAGGTGCTACTGACGGCACTGGTGGGGCCACTGCAGGGACCCCTGCCCTAGAGGTCTGTCAGGGAGTATTGCTGAGGCTGTCAGGCGCAGCCAGTGGGTCTGGGTGAGGCCTGAGGTCCCACGTACCTGCAGGCACTGACGGGAGGTCCTTGCTGCTACTCCTCCCCAGCAGATAAGACCACATCCTTTCACTTGGACCTGGGCTGACTTCATCGTCTAAACATAAGCAAGCCGCCATGTATACCATCTCCTCTGAAAATGAGATCTGTTGAGCAAACCAGCGGGTTTTGTGTCTGCCTCTCCCCCCCACTGCCTGCCCATTTGCCCTCACGTCCGTATCATTTCTGATCATCCGTATCCTTACAGGCCCTTAGGATCTGAAAACTTGCTGCTTAGAGGAGCCACGCTGAAGAACACGGAGAAAATCTTCGGTAAATATTTAATTCGTGAGTTACTAACCATTGCCTGTAATGTTCGTAAGACCCGCAGCAGAACCCTGAGAGAGTTCCTTGGTGCCTTGAGGTGCCAGAGGCTTTCTGGCCATGCAGTTCCACCCACTGAGATTAGTGTCTGTGGGTAAGTGCGGTCCTGACGCAGTGGCACCAGAGAATACGGCTTGCATGTTGAGGCCTCTAGTTTTGGATTCAGAAACAGGGAGTTTCATCCGCGAAGGAATTTATGAAGTTGAATTGTGCACGACGTTTCTTTCATGCCTGTGTTTCTTGGCTAGGATCTCCCATTTCTTGTGGGCTGTTGTCTATTTTAATTGAGGTAACTTTTAGAAATGTACCCGTGTGCCCCACTGTCAGACCTAGTGTCCTTGGGGGGCTGGCTCCAGGACACCTGCAGATGCCAAAATCCACGGGTGCCCAAGGCCCCTTTTTGCATGTGGCCTGCGCACGTCTGCCCCTCTGGTTTACAAGGTCTTAGGTGACATCCAGTACCTAACACGGCATAAATGCTAGTCACATAGTTACACTCTGCTGTTTTTATCATCTGTATTTTTAATCATTGTATTGTTATTTTTGGGGGGGATTTTTTGAAATATTTTGCATCCCCAGTGGGTAGAACCTGCAGATTCTGAACTCATGGCCGTGCACAGCCCAATGTATATTAAGATATGAACTCTTAAAAACTGAAGCACAGATTGCCTCCTGTGTACGAAGAAAGGTTTTGATCCTAAAGAATCGAGTTCTAATGTTGTGTGACTATGGACACTAGTTCATGAAATCAAAAATAGGATTCATTTTACTGAAGAACTGATTTTCCCCGCAGCTGTGTGTAACTCACCACAAGGAAGACAGGCTTGCGCCACGGTCCTCACCTTCCCCTTCCTCTCTGTAGGTGTGGCTATCTACACGGGCATGGAAACCAAGATGGCACTGAATTATCAGTCGAAATCGCAGAAGCGGTCTGCTGTGGAAAAGTAAGTCTCCCTGCCCCGTCGCTGGCGAGCATGAGAATCTGCGGCTTAGAAGTGTCAATACCCACTGTAGACATGGAAGTAGCTTCTTCTTGGCTTTATTGGCGGTTCTTTCGCCAGTAGACGGCATCTTAGTAACCGCAGAGCTGACTATTCAGATGGACTTTCTTACTCTGTGGGGAGGTGAATGGCCGCACCCCTCTTTCCTGCACTTCCCAGCGCCTGGTAAGAGGCAGCGCTGTTACCCCTTACGGACGCCCTGAGATTCTGGTTCCGAAACCAGTCCAGTGTTCAACAGTTCCTCCTACCGTGTCATGAAAAACTCCAGATGGCCTCGCTTTTCACTCTGGGCTTTGGTGGAAGCCACGCATTCCCGGCTGTGGTTTTATGAGGGAAAGCATTAGCAGACAGAACAGAGTCATCTTTGCATTGAACAGTGAAGTCCTGATGATAAATATGTCAGAATGGTAGCTGAATTTGTGCCGGAAAATAGAGGCTTCTTCCCGAGCTCGGCCGAGACCTCCGTGAAGGGCCCGTGCTTTCCTGTCCTGAGGACACTTCCTTGCAGAGCGTTTCCTTGTCTCCCGTCCTTCCCTCTTCCCTCTCTTCCTCCTTCCTTCCTTTCCTTCCTTTCTTTACAGTGGGGGCTAGTCACTACATTCTGAACTAATTTGTTGATGCTCAGTGGTAGAAGTTGACCTCTGGATGTTCCTTTCTTTTTTTTTTTTTTTTTGGAGACAGAGTCTTGCTCTGTCGTCAGGCTGGAGTGCAGTGGTGCAATCTCGGCTCACTGCAACCTCCGCCTCCCAGGTTCAAGTGATTCTCCTGCCTCAGCCTCCCGAGTAGCTGGGACTACAGGCGCCAGCCACCACTCGCAGCTACTTGTTGTATTTTTTAGTAGAGACAGGTTTTCACCATGTTGGCCAGGCTGGTCTTGATCTCTTGACCCCATGATCTGCCCGCCTCGGCCTCCCAAAGGGCTGGGATTACAGGCGTGAGCCTCTGCGCCCGGCCTGGGTGCTCTTTTCAATGACGGAAGTGGGCGTGGCTGCTTACACAGACACGGAAACCACGGGCAACGCGGAAGCATTGCAGCATGGCTGCGAGCGGCTCTCTGTCCTGCTTGTGGCACTTTCCCCCTGCTTGACTCTTTCCTTTGGCCTCTAGAAGTGCGTGCCACGGACCGTGGCATGGATGCAAGCACAGGGGGCCTGCTGTGGCACGTCGAGGACAAACACATCACCATGCTGTTCCTATTCTGTGTCTTCACAAGGTTTCATCTTGACCTTTGTGAGAAGGAAGGGCAGAGCTCGTTTCCCCAGGGCCAGCGATCACCTCTGTCCTTCTGTTTCAGATCCATGAATGTGTTCCTCATCGTGTACCTCTGCATCCTGATCAGCAAGGCCCTGATAAACACTGTCCTGAAGTATGTGTGGCAGAGCGAACCCTTCCGGGATGAGCCATGGTATAATCAGAAAACGGAGTCGGAAAGACAGAGGAATCTGGTATGGGGAGCAACTGCCCGGTGTGGTCACAGATGTCCTGTGGGCCATATCACAAAAGGGCGGTGCAAGAAAAGATGGAAGTGAATTTACTGTAGGCCAAAAGCATCCTCGATGGGTCCAGTCTCCGTAGTAGATGCATTCACGAAATGTAAAGTGCCAGTGGACCCAGCTGGTCCTGTCTTTGAGTCTGGAGAGGTACAGCTTCCCACAGTGAAGTCATCAGGACAGTGCCTTAAATACCTGCAGTGTCCTTTGTTTAGAGGGTGCTAAGTAAATGCTTGTTAATGACTGTGAGGTAAATGGCACGTATTTGTGGTAAATACTTGGAAAAAGGTTCTGCTTTCAGTCCAGAGAGGGCCGTGTGCAAACCCAGACCTGTGTCCACTGAGCCTAGGGCAGGGCTGTGTGCAAACCCAGACCTGTGTCCACTGAGCCTAGGGCAGGGTCGTGTGCAAACCCAGACCTGTGTCCGCTGAGCCTAGAGCAGGGTCGTGTGCAAACCCAGACCTGTGTCCGCTGAGCCTAGAGCAAGGTCGTGTGCAAACCCAGACCTGTGTCCGCTGAGCCTAGGGCAGGGTCGTGTGCAAACCCTGACCTGTGTCCGCTGAGCCTAGGGCAGGGTCGTGTGCAAACCCTGACCTGTGTCCCCTCTGTCCAGAGCGGGGTCGTGTGCAAACCCAGTCCCGCGTCCCCTCCATCTGGATCAGGGCCATCTCTGCACATCATCCGTCCTTCCTACAAAACTAAGTTGGCTTCACAGACCAGGATAAAAGTATACTGAAAAGTCATTTCATCAGACTTAGTTTTTACATCTGTAGGTTGTTAACAAGTAAGTTTGGTTATAAGAGTCACAAAGAGGTCCCACAGATGCAGAAGCAAAATTGCCACTGGCGTCTGGTCTGTGTGCCTCCTGTCACACATGCTTGTCTTAACTCATGACTTAATCTCCACCCGCACAGCAGGGCAGCCCTGGCAGGTCCTGGCGCAGAGACCAGGTGACCCCATGGCAGCGCCCCCCCACCAGCCCATAATCCTCGTCTTTGGACTCTGAAACCTTGTACTTAGTAGTAGCACGTGTATAACTTATGGCTCAGCCTGCGGTGTCAGAGCAGCGTGGTGGAGCCCTGCTGTCCTTCCCAGCGGAGGTGCTGACCTGCACCTTCTGCTCTCGCAGTTTCTCAAGGCCTTCACAGACTTCCTGGCCTTCATGGTCCTCTTCAACTACATCATCCCCGTGTCCATGTACGTCACGGTCGAGATGCAGAAATTCCTTGGCTCTTACTTCATCACCTGGGACGAAGACATGTTTGATGAGGAGACCGGCGAGGGGCCGCTGGTGAACACGTCAGACCTCAACGAAGAGCTGGGACAGGTTGGTGTCTCCTGAGTCATCTGCTGGGATTTGCTAACACGTGGGTGAGTCTGTTTCTCATTCCTCAGGTCCGGTGCCTGTCTTCCGGGCGTGGCTGTCCCTGTAGCTGGTGGAACGCAGCAGCAGGCTTGTTTTGAACCTTATTTATGAAACAGTCGGCCATGCTGTTACATGTATGACAGGTGTGGAATTACCTGTATTCGCTAGTGCCTGGAAACTCACCCGGAGCTTCCCAGGCTGGGCACCTTCTGGACGAAGGTGTGAATCAAGGCGGTGGGTAGAAATGGCTTTGCCAGCCTTGCACTCTCCTTCTGCACCTGATATTGAGGTCTCATAGCAAGCCAGGTATTTTTTCACTTTAAAGATGAGCAAACCGATACTTCAGAGAGTTTCAGTGACTTGGTGCATTGCAGAGGGTTCAAGTGCCTCCATTCAAATCCTGCTGCTGCGCGATGGCTGCGGGAGCTCAGGCTTCACCGCCACACCTCGAGTTTCTGTCTGTGATGTGAGATGACAGATGCTGGCCCCGCAGGACTGTGGTGTGGAGTCAGTGAGATCATGGGCACAAGGTGCCCAGCCCAGAGTCTGTGCCACCACCGCCTCCCTGCCACGACACCCCCAGGAGCCATATACCAGACCTGCCGGCTTGGGAAGGGAACTAAGGAAAGACCCGTTCCCTTGGTTCCCCAGCCTAAAGTGGGGACCTTCCCTACTTTCCCAGCCTTACTGTTGCAGAGTGCAGGGTTGGCAAAGCAGGTACCGGTAAAGGGTAACTCTTTGGTCTTTTTGGAAGAAATAGAAAACAATTTTGAGGAAGGACTGTTTTAGCAAACAAGGCCACTTTAGACAGGTGGCTGAAAGCTGCATCTCACTCGCAGACAGCAGTCTGTAAATACACTAGGCGGGAGATACAGAGGCCTCTGTCTGCGCCTGTGAGGAAGGCAGACGCACGGCAGGCGCGTGCTTCGCTCTTGATGAGTTTGACTTCTCAGTATTTCTCTGGTGTATTCCCGACCCCTCACAGTGGTTTACTGTGTCTGTCAGCAATGCACAGACTGTAATTCAGTTGCTCAGTAGTCGGGAGTTTTTAGCTAAGAGTATTCTTTCTATCTCCTTTGCAATAATAGATGGTACATTTTGTGTGCTCCTGATAAATTCATTGGGAAAGAAAGTTTTCCTGTAACAAGGAAAATGCCCAGCAGTATTGAGTGCAGCCAATTTCTTCTCTGCCCTCCTCGATCCGTCGCCCTGGAGTCCAGCAAAACAGAATTTGATTTCCGCCATTCTGTCCTGACCAAAACCAGGCTCTCGCCTGGAGGTTGACCTCCCCGGACACAGAGAAGTGTGTACTGTGGCTCCCGGGCGATGCCCTGGGGTGAGGACAGGTGGGCAGGCCCAAGAGGCAGGTTCATCTGACTGCAGCTACGCGGGTGAACGCCTGTGCCCCCCGTCTACCCGTACAAACGCACATGCCCCCCATCGCTGTGCCGTGCGATGTACATAACTTCTTTTGTATGTGAGATGGAGATTCACCCACCACTCAAGTGTCTGTGTCCACAAAAAAAACCACCATCTCCTGTGGCGCTCTGGGCCACACACTGTGCACACCTTCTCTGTGTCCTGTGTACCACTGCCCATTTCTCAGATAAGAAACGAAGTCAGGAGCAGGCAGTGCTGCCTGAGCACGAGTGCCTGGGAACACAAACCCTGCTCCGGCCGAGTTGAGTGGGCGGGCGTTCACTGCGGTGGGTGCCATCTTCTGTTCCGAGAGCTGAGGGTGACGCAGCATTGACCGGCACTGCGCTTAGGGTTGGCTGTCTCACTACCAGAAAAGAACACTGCAAGCCAGGACCCCTGATGAGCAAAGTCGAAAATACCGTCAACAAAACACTAGCAAACCAATTCAGTAGCACACAAAAGGATCATACGCACCTCTGGGATGCCGGGTGGCTGTATCCACACGCACAAATCAGTAAGTGTGGGGCATGGTGTCAGCAAGATGAAGGACAGACCGTACGATGATCTGTGATGCAGAAAAGGCATTCGACAAATTTCAGCATCCTTTCCTGATAACGTCTCTCAACAAATTAGGTACAGAGGAGGGTACCTCAACACAATACAAGCCGTAAATGACAGACCACAGCTGGCATCACACACAATGGAGGAACGCTGAAAGCCTTTCCTCTAAGATCAGAAGGAAGGCAAGGCTGCCCGCATTCACCCCTTCTATTCAGCGTAGTGCTGGGAGCTCTAGCCAGAGCAGTGAGGCAAGGAAAAGCAAGAAAAGGCATTCGTATAGGGAAGGAAGAAGTGAAACTGTTTGCTGATGACACATGCTTATATGTAGAAAGGCCTAAAGACTCCGCCAAAAAACTTTTAGAACTAATCAAGAATTTCATTAAATTTGCAGGATACAAAATCAACACCCAAAACTCAGGAAGGATTCTATATTCCAGACAACAGACTATTTGAAAAGGAAGTCAAAGACTTTCCCAAACTTGTTTAATAGTAACAAAGCAAACAATCTTACCTCCTTTTGCTGAGGTAACAGAACTGACTGGATTTGTGTCCAGAGGTTTTAAGCTTTTGTTTCCATGTTCTTAAAACTGAGATAACAGCACAGTTGAAGATTAAATGAGCCACTGCCCAGTGGCCGGCACACCCTGAGTGCTCAGTAAAGGTCTGTTATCATTAATTTTTATTATTGTCATTTTCATGGTCGTGGTTCCTAGAAGATGCCACCTATTTAGTTATAGCTAAACAGGATGATAAACCAAACCTCTTAACATTTGCTGTTTCATTCTTACCCATTTTACCCTTTTAAAAATGCGTTTTGAGACAGGCGTGGTGGCTGACACCTGTAAACCCAACACTTTGGGAGGTCTAGGCTGGTGGATTACCTGAGATCAGTAGTTCAAGATCAGACTGGCCAACAGGGCAAAACCCTGTCTCTACTAAAAATCCAAAATGTAGCTGGGTGTGGTAGCATGTGCCTATAATTCTAGCTACTCAGGAGGCTGAGGCAGGAGAATCACTTGAACCCAGGAGCCGAAGGTTGCAGTGAGCTGAGATCACACCACTGCACTCCAGCCTGGGTGACAGAGTGAGACTCCATCTCAATAAATAAGAAAAATAAAAATAAACAAGCTTTTAAGATTGAGAAAGAGTTTATTCTAAGTTATATCAAAATCCTATGTAAGAAGAGCACACAGGTTGAATATCCGTTATCCAAAATGCTTGGGAAAGCCATGTCCCAGTGGGCGTGCCCCAACTCAGTCTCTAGATGCTGCCTCGCGTTCAGAGCTCCCACCATCAGTTATTCACGATAAACGTGTAACCTGTGAGCTTATCTAAAATCAGAGTTTAAGGCGGGTTGTACCTTTAACACATATCACAGTTTTCTCTGAGATTTGCCTTGTTCTTATTTGTTTGAATTTTACCTTCTGAAGCTTACGTGATATTGTGGGCTTTGACCTCCAAGACTTTGTAAAGTTCATCCCCTCCGTAGCCTCTTTTTTTCATTGTGGTTGTTAAACAAGATTCGGGACGACCCCCCTCACACTCTGTCTTCCCAAACAAATGGAGCCCCGGCTCCACCCTGGGAATGTGTCTCTGTCCCTGGGAATGTGACTGTGACACTGTTTTGCTCCCCACCCAGAGAAGGTGTCCCCAAGGCCTCCCCACCCATCCTCCTGAATGGCACCTGCCAGCACTACTGGGTCCTGCTGGACGCTGGAAAGGAGGATGGCCGGGAGCATAGCTCAGCTCTGTGGGGTCATCTGTCTGGGGGAAAACCTGTAGAAATCCACCGCCTAGTAAACTCACAGTGGGAGCTGGGGAGGACACATGGCTGCTGTGTGTCTGCGTCAGAGGTGCTGGGGCCGCCCTCGAAGCGCCGTGACTTGCTGTGCCCTGGCCGCAGGTGGAGTACATCTTCACAGACAAGACCGGCACCCTCACGGAGAACAACATGGAGTTCAAGGAGTGCTGCATTGAAGGCCACGTCTACGTGCCGCACGTCATCTGCAACGGGCAGGTCCTCCCAGACGCCTCAGGGATCGACATGATCGACTCGTCGCCCAGTGTCAGCGGGAGGGTAAGTGCAGCCCCTGCACCGTCCGCCTCTGGGAGTGAGTCGGTGGGCGGCTGTGCGTCCTGAGCCCACCCCCTTTCACTCGGGGACCAGGAAAGTCCAAGTCCTGTCCGCGGACTGCAGTGGGAGGGAGGTCAGAAGGTGCGACCTGTGCAGTGTCCCATTGGATACCGGGGTGCTTGGTGATACCCATGTTAGAATTGCTGTGGAAACTATAGAAGCGGGGCAAACACGCATGCACGCATGCACGCAGACACCACGTGCACACGCAGACACACCTGCACACGCGCACACGCAGACACACACACACTCTCACACACACTCCAGATCTCAGCATCTCTGGGCAGGGCTGGAGTCCCAGGCCGACGCCATTCCTGAATTTCCTGTTGTGGGGTGCAGAGCGCTGTGGGGGAGCCAGGCAGCTGTGTTCAGTGGGCTGTGCATTTGCACCTCTCCCCACCGAGGGCGCTGATGCTCTCTCACTGCGCCCCAGCCGGTGGCAGAAGAGCAACCACCACTTCATCACGGGCTCACGGCAGCGGGAGTGGCCATGTCTGTGCCTGTGCCAAGGCTCCGGCCCCCACATCGGGCGCTCCGCTGGGTACACGGAATGTGATGGAGCCCTTCCCGGAGCTTTGCCATGGTGCTTCCCAACCTTGGTTTCACATGAGAATCTGGAGTCTTGGAGCTCCCAAAGAATGCAGTGTGCAGCCAGGGTGGAGAAAGCCGTCCTCAGGGCAGCCTCGGGGATGCGGTCCCAGCCGCTGTGGCCTTGAGTGCCTCACTTTACCTTCCTGAACTTCGATTCTGCAGCTGCAGGTGCAGGATAATAGCTCCCCCTTCGTAGGGGGTGTTAGGATCGGTGTCACAATGTGAGTTAACAGCAGGTGCTCCGTAGGTCACGTCTAGTCTAACACGCTTCGGTTAGGAGAAGGCCGCCATTGCGCAGGCGCCGGGGTGGAGGCATAGCCAGGGTCCAGGGTGTTTGTGAACGTCTGTGTTCCTTGCACCGAGTGACTCAGCCTCCCTTTCTGCATGCTTAGTGGCTGCGTGTCATTTCTGAGTGCACTGGAAGCCATGCCTCCATGGTTTCTAAAAGTATCACTGCTGAGTAACACACTCCCATTTCATGGCTGCCTTCACGGCTGCACAGAAAACCCCTCACCTCCTGCAAGCTGCCCTCACAGCTCCAGGGTTCCCTTGGGCTTTCTGTCTGAGCCTGTTTCCTTCCATTTTCAGTGGATGCACCGTGATTTGGGGGTTCTGGGAACTGCTTTTTCATAGGAGCGCGAGGAGCTGTTTTTCCGGGCCCTCTGTCTCTGCCACACGGTCCAGGTGAAAGACGATGACAACGTGGATGGCCCCAGAAAGTCGCCAGACGGGGGGAAGTCCTGCGTGTACATCTCATCCTCACCCGACGAGGTGGCGCTGGTCGAAGGTGTCCAGAGGTGGGTCGCCGGCCGAGGGCCTGCCTGGGTTTCCTGATGTGACTCAGCCCTGCCACAGCCCCACTCAGGGACTTGCACCCGGAGGCGTCCTCAGCCCCGCCCCGTACCCTCCGCGCGCCGAGCTCTGCTGCCTTTGCACCCAGGTTCTCTGGGTCCCCATCCCTGTATGAGCCCCTCCCACCGTGATAAGCAATGTTCTGGTCCCCGGTGTGTGAGTCTTCATCTGTCTTTCATGGGTGGCTTTTCCTCCTGAGGTCTGCAATAAGTTAGAGGTCATTCCAGATAACCACAGGCTTCGAAATACGGAAACAATCCTTCTTCCTTTAACACAAATCTCCCTCCTGCATCTCAGAAAACTGAAGCCTGGATGGCCAGCGGCCTTCCCAGAGCCAGCCCTGTGGGAGCGGGGCAGGGCAGGTGTGGGGCCTCTCACCACCCACCCTTTAAGCAAACACTTGGGAAAATACTTTAAATGTTCCAGATAGGTGGTCTGATTGCAAGTCAGGAAAGCCCTTTTCAAATCTGCCCAGCTCACGGCTTCCGTAACACTCAATCTCCCCTCCCCAAAAGTGACGAAGGGACACTTTGTCACTGCCTTCGGGACCAAGCGTGGTGAGAGTAACATGTTTGCGCTTCTCATCCGTCACAGCCCACAGCCCCGTATTCGTCGCTGCTGAGCTCATGAATGTGTTTCCTCATGCAATGTGAATAGCAGCACAGACACGTAAACAGTGTCACTGGGGCGCTTCGTTCCATGTGTGAACCTACACAGGCGTAGGGGAGGCTTCTTGGAGCTGGGGTTCTCTCTTCTGGGAAAACAAGAGCTCGGGAATGCCACCACATTCATCCCAGGTGTCAGAAGTCAGGGCAGCTGTCTCCCCCCAGCCCCCCACTTCCCCCAGGTGTCAGAATTCAGGGCAGCTGCCTCCCCCCA